AATCTATTATTTTATTAATTCTATTACCAAATTTAGAACTTAGAAGTAAGAATATTTTCTATTAGATTACAGGTTTTTTTATATTTAAATTTTAAAGCAAGTTGTAAGCATTTTCAAATATATGCACAATATACAATCTTAAAGTGCTCATAACTAGCTTTAAAATCAAAATATAAAAATAAACCTATATCATCCAGTGAGATAATATACTTCTAAATTATTTAATAGGCCAATTCACTCTAAAATTAAACATTACCAAGTTAAATGAATTATTCAGAATGTACAATTTGCTATGTTATGTGCTTGTAAGACAAAAACAATGCATGTATATACCTAGTGTTCTCTTAAAATACATATTAATATTTTTTTATGAAACAGTCTATTAAAATTTTATTTTTGACTTAGGTTTAGGGCATAAAGGTGAACTGGTAAGTGTTMGGCCAACATATGCATATGATCAATTGCTTCTGCCAAAATTAGCTATTTATGCTTCTCCTTATAATTTGGATCGTATGAAAAATAATTTATACCAAACCAAAGATGAAGAAAAACCTAGTTCTATTCATGCTCTTCAAGTATTATTAATGTTATCCTATTTTTTATTAATCTACAAATAACTTCAAGAAAAAAATGTAATTTGTATTTCTTAGACTGCGAAATATTTGAAAAAAATGGTTGTAAGTGTAAGCATGAATAAAGATGAGCCTTGGACAATCGAACCATGGCATATAAGAGTATCACTACGAAAAATGAATGTACACGTATTAAGTGATGATTCAATTGAATTGCCAGAACGCCCAATTAGTGGACCTGATTTTACTTTGGAAGGAAAATCCTTTGTTGTGTACATTACTGTGAGTGATGCTTAGTTTTCTTTGATTTTATTGCATAAAAATAATTTTTACATTGTTTTTTCTTGACAGATAAATAAGAAAGAAAAAGTGCCAGTGGAATGTAACCTTCATCATTGGAGTACTAAACTTGCAGATCGATTACCTCGAACAAAATTCTATGAAAGAACTCCAATATCCATTTTYCCTGAGCAGACTGAACTTTTAATGTCAATGAGAGGAAATACAAATAATGATTAAATTTGTTTAGTTTAATTTGCTAGTAGTGTCTAATATATTTAATTTTAAATGAATAATGATTTTTAAGATTATTAATTTGTTTCATCTTTCTATTAATTCAAAATATTCTACTCTATATCAATTTTTTTACCATTATTACTTTGTTCCCTATTAAATTTAAAAAAAATAATGCAATGTC